GACAGGATTAAGGCTTACTGTGAAAAACTTGGCTTCTATTATACTATTTTAGATGCGGGTTTTTGCATTTTTGATTGCGTTTTAATAGGGTACGTCAAGAGAATGTACACTAAGAAGAAATTTTTCGAAAAATTTTCTCCCACGGGGGAAGTGTTATACATTTATAATAGATACATTTTGAGCCACAACAAGGCGTGGCGGTGGTCTGCTAGTTCTTAAATAATCAAAGACAACATTTTTTCCAATACAGTTATACAATAACATCATCATCTGACTTACTTCCGACTGATGCAGGATATTAAAATGCTCCTTCCAAAAAGCTTTAAGAGTTAAGTCGGTATCATTGGTAACCTGAAAACACATGGTATACAGCTTTTTAAAATTGGAAATCACTTGCTGATCCATTGGTTGTAGTAATGGAGTTGTGTTGGGTGGAAGGAATTTGATCTTGATGAAGTCAAGTTCACTATCCAAGTCATCCTCCAAATTTGGTGGATGTGCTGGAGCATTATCCATTAAGAGAAGACATCTAAGAGGAAGATCCATTTCCTGAAGATAATTTTTAACAGTAGGAGCAAACACTTCTGTGAGCCAATTCATGAATAAAGTCCGAGTTACCCGTACCTATTTGCCTTCCATTCAGTATCAACCTTATTGACAAAGCCTGGAGTGAGGTCTCTCACCGCACTTTGCAATCGGTCTGGAGGAAACTTTGGCCAACTTGTGTCCCAGAGCGAAACTTTCAGGAATTTGAAGAAGAGAGCTCTCCTGATGTAGTACATGAAATCGTGTCCATTGACAAGAGTTTGAGAATAGAGGTAGATGATGCAGACGTGGAGGAGTTGCTGAAAGACCAAAATGAACTAACGACAGAAGAGCTGGTTGCCACGCAGGAAGAACAGATGAAAGTCTTACAAGAAGAGCATTCGTCAGAGGAAGAGGATAGGGAAGAAATCACCAGTGCTGAGTTCAAGGAAATTTGCAGAAAATGGAATGATGTGCAGGAATTTATCGAGAAGCACCATTCTAACAAAGTTGTGGCTAATAAGGTCATTAATTTAATGAACAACACTGCTAGCACATTTTAGAAAAATTTTGATTAAGAGAGTAAGACAATCAACCTTAGACCACTTTCTTGTTTCTTATCAAAAGAGACCTCGACTCGAAGAAACTCCCGATGCAGTGCTACCCGATATTTTTATGGAGGGGAATTCCTCTTCCAAGCATTAAGCTCCGTAGAAACAAACGTATGTACAATGCTACTTTATTAAATACAGTTTAAATGATACGTTTTCTTATATTTTCATCAAATAAAACCCATTTTACAAATAAAATTACAAAAATACTGACGGCTAGAACGGATTAATTGTATTTGCATTAATTTCTATGGGAAAAATTGCTTCGGTTAACAAACGGACTCGTTGAACGGATTATGTTCGTTAACCGGGGTTCCACTGTATTTTATGGATTTTGTCCCAGACTGCTTTTGAGCTAGTGGATGATGATATGCTAGAAACATACTTCCTCCAATAATCCCTTTGGCTTTGCCGCCTCATTTTTCTGGCATTTGCCTTTGCCTTTTGAAAAGCAATCAAATTGCTACCTTGGGGATTTACAGAAGATACCCCACACTATTTTTCTTGTTTGTATGCTGCCTCGCAATTTTGGTTCCACCATGGTTTTTATGGTGGAACCAAAGTTGCGAGGCAGCATACAAAGGCTGGTTGATGTTTTCCCCATAGTTTTTTCAGCTGCCTGAATAATACTGAAAGTGACAGCTTCAACTGCACCATTGATATCAGCAATAGTGACTATTTCCTCAGAAATGTTGGCCATAGCTGATTGGTCTGCATTCTCTGTCTCGTTTCCAGCTTCATGGATGGGCTATTTCACAGCTTTCTCTGCCTCGGTATTTTAGAAATATTAGGAATTGGTCACTGGAAAGTGATTAGATCAACCTCCCATGTAAATGCTGAAAATAGATTTGGGGTTGCTAATGATAAATTAAAGGCACTGAATGTTCAGTACAGGCAGTTTGGACGTTATCACATTTTTGCTCTTAGGTTGTGTACACACTAGGCGTTTTTAAACGCGCGTTTTACGGGCGTCAGCCACGCGCTTTGAGATATATGTGCTGTCGTGTTGTACTGTACATTCGATCGCGCGTTTTCGGGTAGGTGGACGTATAGTACGTTGGCCGAAATGGAGAACGATCATTTCGATACTAATCTATTTATTGATGAAATCTAAAAGAGACCAGCCATCGTCAAATGATTTTATAGATATTCTAAAAGAATTAAAAAACTTGGTTTCGTATTATCTTAGTTTTGGATACAACGTCGCAAATATTCCATGCGTCAGTCTATCTCGTAATATTGGGTGCACCCTAAATTCTCTTTGCCTGTGCCATCGTTTTTTATAGCGACGATGGAAAAGGCACACACAAGCAATTACTTTCACGTCCATTTCCAAACTGAGCCAGTGCGTACGCTCCAATAAACGGTCGTCGAGCGCCGAGCTAACACGCAATGTGTACGCTGCTAACGCGCGTTTAACGCAACGCAAAACGCCTAATGTGTATACAGCCTAAGCCCCACTGAAGAGGTCTTTGGCGAAATGCATTTGGGAAGCTTGTTCGTAATGTAAATAAAAGTTTTTTCTCTGCAAATTGTTTTCCTTTTTATACCTTTTTTAACTTTAAAAATTTTTTAGTCATTATTGGTTTAATGTTTTAAAATTTGAAGTTATATAATATCCAAAAAGTCAGAAGAGAAAGAAAAATATAATTTTTTCGTGTTTTACATTTATGTAAGAAGAAAACGGGAAAATTTCTGACTCCATCGGTTTTTATAATTATTTTGGTATATACAGAAAGAAGTTTTCCCGCTCTTCTCGTACTCCTCCTTGATCACAGAAAAGGGAAAGAGGTAGGATATATCACATAATTTTGTAAACTCGCTCGTATTTACAATCGGTTATCGGAGAATTTTGAACTATCTTGTAAGCGACCTTGCTACTATCAACCTCAGGCTGCGTCGTCGGAAGAAGGATTAAGACCAGCGCTTTAACCCCAACTCCTCACATAAGCAGCGATTGACCTGGACACAAACAACATTTCACAGCCTGGTGTTGATAGTAGCAAGGTCAATTACAAAATAGCAGCGCTTGACGTTCAATGTTCTCACTTTAGGGATGAAAACGTCAGCCACAACCTCGCTACTATATCACCTTGGTCAACTCCTGTGATAAAAGTCGATCTTAGCTTAAATAATCTCTCCCGATATTACGGTATAAATATCGAGTTCTTGTTGTTTTTTTCTAGCCAAGTATTTGCTTTAATTTCGTTTTATATTCCCGTGTACGGTCTTGGTTAACGCAAAATGTTTATATTTACATGTTTGTATTTCGTGCCGCCATCACGTCAGCATTTGTCGAACCGTCCCTATTCTAACCCCTATCCGCACACCGGTGTGACGTGGCTTTTTAATCGTTATTATACACGCGTCAGATTCTGAAATTATAGTAGAAAAAAATCCAAAATTGTTCATTAAATTCTTTTTTTTTTTTTTGGTTTAACGCGTAACAAACGAATTCAACAATTGAAGTTGCTGTTGTTGCGTAGTTTTGCTCTTGTTAATAGGAAGAGTGCGATTTGGAAAGCGATTCGATGATGTTTTTTGATGGTGGAGACTATCGACCCCTGCCCCATCCTTCGGGGTAAGAGATTTTTTTACATTTCATTAGTATTTATTCGGATAAAAAATTCGTTTTATTAATTAAAGGCTTTAAAGAAAAACTTCCATCTACAATATATAATTAGGCCTAATTAGATTAAATGTAAAGATTGCGACTTTACGATTTTTGTGTCTTCCTGTATTGCTGTCCGCAATAGAGGGCTTTATAAGGCACAGTTCAGGCCTGGCGTTAAGAAGATAATTTAGGGCTTTTCAATTTACTGTTGTTTAAACGCCTCTTTTATATCACAGATTAGGTCTAACTCTGGTACTGAAGGGTCGTTAATATGACGAAATTTACTAAAATTTTAAACATAACTTCGTTTAATAAATATATTTAATATGTCTTTTTTGAAAATAACAGAAAAAGATTTAGACTAGTCGATTTATAAAAGGCCCTTCCCCTCTTCGAATAAACTTAAAAGCACGGAAATCTAATGTGTTTGAGAGTAGAATTAAATAGTTATTGTGTTGTAAATTTTCTCTTTGCATATTTAGGGAGGGATTGGATGTGGACGTGCGAAGATTCGTCAGTCCACACAATTTGGATGATTTTAAATTTCGAGGCAGCAAGATGAAGAAAGGCCTCTCGAAGCAGTTCGAACCCTCGACCGGTGCATTCGAAGGTTTGGACGTTTTTGAAAATAATATCAAGCTTGCTTACAGAAAAGCTGTGATGAAGGTTCGACCTATCTGTCAGACGGCCTGCCAACGTTTTAACAGGTAAATTACATTACTGTTTGTATATAATAAACTAGTGTATATTGTATGTACGAGCTGTTTAATTAACAAGGGGTTATTCTGAGAAATACGAAAAATCATCGTCTTAATTTTTCAATAAATAGTAATAAGTTTAATAGTTTCTTACCCTCGTGGGAAATTACAGAAAATTTTTTCCAAGTGTTACCATTTTTAAATGTTCATCGTAATTCAGTTTGAAAATTATATATTTATAGTATTTCTTTCCTTGTTTAGTGAGAGATTGGTCGAAGATGTGGAGGATGAAGGAGTGAACAATAGTGAGAGCGCGGTTCCTCCACGAAACACCAAAACAGACGAAGACCCGGTAGAGCACGAAGATTGCGTGCAAGATAATCCTGGCCATTACAGGGATAGAAATACATTGAAGAAAGTCGGGTCGTTCTTTAAGAGCGTGTGGAAACCCGTTAAGAGGTAAGATTTTGTACGCGCGAACAAAGTTCGATTTAGCCTCTGAAATTGGCAAAAAATCGAGTGTGGCGCTAAGCCCAAGTATCGATTACACCAACAATTTTTATAGTATTAAGATCTAAACACAAATTTGAGTTGGAAATGTTTGCGAATCGCATAACTTTCACGTATTGTTCGGCGCTGTATCGGTCTATTCGTCCGCCAAGCCAGTGTCATTACTGATTGGATGAAAAATTAAGATAGAAATGAAAAAAGAAGCTATTTTGTATGAAAAATTGAATTCAAAACGTCACCGAACCAATGAATTAGTAGAAAATTTCAAAATGTAACTTTCGTTCTTTGTAGGCCAACATTTACAGCCGATCGATACAGCACCGCAATATGTTTTAATGGAATTCAAATCGAGTTATACGTTTCCGATGAATAATTATACTTCTTTTTCTACATTTAGATCCGTGCAGAAGGTGTGTAAAATGGCAAAAAGTGGAGAGTGCGAGTACGTTCTGTTCGAGTAAGGACCTCTTTGCTTCCATCTGTCCATCGACAATAAGATCCCGCTCTAGAATAAGATTTGCCATAAATTATTTGCTGGTTCTGGGCCGAGTTGGCTAATTGTAAGTGTCTATGGCAACTTTATTGTATTCTACACCAAACACTTGCCAGATTTTACGGTCTCGGTTTATAAATTGACACAATATCTGACCGCGATTTCATAATAACACGCAATTAATGGCCGGACAACAGAAAAAATGGAAATATTTATGTACGGTATTAGCGTGGAAATGTATTATATTTTGATGCGATTGAGATCGTACCTACAGAAAACCCACGTTTTTAGGGTATCGGGCATACATAGCCTGTATATTCCTGTCCAAGTACTCACAATAATACATCGTGGGGTGTAAGTTGCTGGTCTCTAGACACAGCGAAAGCAATAGTATAAATGAATGTAGAAATTAAATTATCCAGTAATATTACGTGGAGTAAAATTATCCAGTAATATTAGTAATACAATTGGATTATTTTAGGATGTTCCTAAAATAATCCAATTGACAATGACATATTTGATACATACATGACACGTGGCAGAATGCAATTAATTGCGGTAAACAATATCATTTGGCATGTAACTATTTTTATTTTAGAAGGAAATAATAATCTTAATTTTGTTTTTTTTTTGTTTAATATTTCTTTGTTCTCGTCGTTTGTTGTACATTTAAAAATATTCAAAGAATGACAAAAAGAAATAAAGTTTAAAAATTAATAAATAAAATCTAAAAAGCTCCTAAAAAGTAGTTTTAAAATTGTAAAAATAATTTTCAATTTATAAGTAAAAATTAAAATATTGGTTTTTCATTCACTTTTAGATATGGTTTTTTTCTGCAAACCATCGATGACACGAATCCTACTCCTGATTTTGACATCCCGATTGCGTCAATGCGAATTTTGATTATGACTTCCCAATTTTGACTTTGTCCCGGCTGTGTCTCCTTATTAATGTCTTTTAGTGAATTATCATTTTCCCAAATTGGTCTACACGAATTTGGAATCTTGATCTATGTCTACCTCACGAATCTGGACTCTCCCGAATTACGTCTACCTCGAATTTGACTCATAAAACGTGTCTACACTCGAATTTGGACTCCCCCGAATTACGACATCCCCGAATTTGACTGCTGAATCATGTCTGAACTCGAATTTGGACTCTCCCGAATTACGTCTACCCCGAATTTGACTTCGGAATCCTGTCTATATTGGAATTTGGACTCTTCCGGCTTGTGTCTGTGCTCAAATTTGACTCCCAAATTTTTGTCATCTCTGGAACTTGGACTCTCCGGAATTGTGTTTTAATTTGTTATTGGAACGACATGCTCAACAAATTGATATTTGTTATTCAAACACTAGTAAAAAGGATTAATTGCAAAACAAATTTTTTATACATAAAATGTTTGATAAATTAATCTATTATTAATGTTCATATATACAGTATATATTAATTAATAATTCTAATTTCAATTATAAATTGTTGTATATTTATATTTGTAAAACATTAATAGTAATTGTTACGGCCTGCCTATCTCCGAAATCTTTGCAGAAATTAAGGCATTCAAGCGATAGTCGAGAGCCTCGAACGGTAGGTCTCGCACACATTAAAATATGTGTTTGGACCTATATAAATGTTATTAAAAGTCTGTTTAAAAATCCCTCGATAAAGAATGAAACTTATGTAATTTGTAAAAACATAATGTTTGCAAAAATAAAACAGTTTCTGCAGATGTAATCTTTTTCTGTTCTTTCGTAAGCGGATGAAAATCTTGCATTCCTTTTGAGAAAGGATAATTTTAGAGAAACAGTTAAAGTGGCAAAGGCACACTTGCCACTCCGAGGGTTTTATTTATTTATTTTTTCACTCGGTCCTCTGGACACTAAGAGGGCCTCTTTATTCACCAAGCCTGTTACGGGTTCGGCCAGGCCACGCGAGGCGTTCATCAATGACGATCCATAAATACTTGAGGTTCGGGGGTGTTATACCAATTATACAGCAGTTTGATAGATATTGCAATTATACCACAGTTTGATAGATATTGCATTTGTTACGTTTTCGATAATTCGCGTTTTTTCACTGGATGCTCGCAATCTATTGTTTAAAGAAAACTGTATTATGTTAATCGCTTGAATCATTCTTGTGTATTGTCAACAGTAAACATGATTAGCAATAGATAAAGCAAATCTTTCTGTTACGTTTCAAACTGCAATTTCATAAGTTTTCGTCTATTCCCATACGAAAAATAGATGATTATTTGGAAATCAGAAGATGGAGCTCATGAATATAACCTGCAGAAAGAGTGAATTCGACTGTTAAGAATTTTATATGAACAAGTTACGCTGTCAGTTTTAAAGGATTTTTCCTTAAAGTTTAAAATGCCGATAATTTTGTGTGAGACACAGGATTGGGTTTAAGCATTTCCAGGCCTTAACCTGAACTCTGTATTAGGCCCTTTACCAACTCTTCACATTTTTAGAAGTCAATCATAAAAAGAAAATAATTAACATAAACATACAGTCGATCCCTCTATAACACTGTTGATTATTCCGTTTTATATGAATTCCATGTTGTACGAGTCACTTAGATTTTACAAATACGTGTGTCGGGCTGAAAACGGCTCACGTATTTGTAATAGATGATAAAAATAAAGACAGCTGAGAGAAAAAACAGTTAAGAGAAAGTTTACAATACAAAACAAGTGGTGGAAATGTTCCGTTATTCTCAAAGGAAGAGATACCTTGGGTAATATCGAACATTAAACAAGGGAAAGCCCCAGGACATGATCTAATTACAATAGAAATTGTAAAACAAATAAATAACAGAGAGCCAGATTTTCTATACGAATTATATAACACTTGTTTAAAATTTGCAGTTTTCCCAGCTGAATGGAAAATTGCGAAAATCTTACCAATCTATAAGGGTAAAAACAAAGATCGAAAAGAAGTAAAAAGTTATAGACCAATCTCGCTCCTTCCTGTTCTGGGAAAAGTTTTGGATAAATTAATAGTATATCGTCTTACAACTTGGCTAAATTCAAACAAATGGTTTAACGAAAATCAATACGGGTTTCAAGAAGGATGTTCAGCGGAAGATGCTATATCAGAAGTAATTAAAGATATCAAAGAAGGGAGGAAAAATAACTGCTGGACAATTGCTCTCAGTCTTGATATAGAAGGTGCTTTTGATAATGCATGGTGGTCACTAAATTAGAGGAGGCAAATTGCCCAAACAATTTGTATCGTCTTATATGTGATTATCTAACAAACAGAAAGGCATACATAGAATATGCAGACATAAAAATGGAAAGGGACATGACTATGGGGTGTCCACAGGGATCCTGTTCTGGACCTATTTTTTGGTCAATTATATTAAATGATCTCTTGAAAATCAACACATTATCAGAATCAAAAATAACAGCTTTTGCTGACGATATAATGGTCATCTGTTCGGCAAAAAGCAGAAAACAAATAGAAATAAAATGCAAAAATATACTGGATAAAATAGAGAAATGGGGAAATGCAAGCAAACTTAAATTTAATCCAGAGAAGACACACGCCATAGCCTTTACAACGTGCAAAGTGGCAAAAAGGCAACCCACAATTAAAATGCAGAATAAATCGATTAAATGAGTAAACCAAATCAACTATTTAGGAGTAACAATAGATAACAAACTTTTCTGGAATGAACACCTAGAAACAATTAAGAAAAAAGTGGGTAACTTATTTCAAGAAATAGCGAAAGTAGCACGTAAAGAATGGAGTATAGGTGGAAGGGCTTTAACACATATTTATAAAGGTGCTGTAATCCCAATTGTTACATATGCTGCCAAAATTTGGGGAAGAGGATGGAGTTGACACACATGAAACAGAAAATAAATAGCCTACAAAGAAAAATGCTATTAAGAATTACTGGAGCATACTGTACTACATCCCACGATGCACTCTGTGTACTGGCGGGCCTAATGCCTCTGGATTTGGAAATTCGACAGCATAGTGACACAAGAAATATATTAAAAGAAAACAAAACTCATAATGATTTATTGAAAAAAGAGGACGAGCTAGAAGCAGATATGAAACAACACCAAAAATTATTAAGATATGAATGGGAGAAAATACATATAAAGAAATACAACTATCGGGATAAATACAGAATCTATACGGACGGATCAAGATCCTCAGAAGGAGTGGGAGCGTCGTATGTTTATTACTATAGAAATAGGGAACAGTATCATAAAAAAATCAAGTTAGATAAAAGATGCACAAATTACCAAGCATAATTGGTAGCAATAGATCACGCAATTAACTGGATAAGTCAAAGGAAGAAAAATATAAAAATTACTATTTGCACAGACAGCCAGGCTGTATGAAAAGCTCTTAATAATGGTAACAATAAAAGTGAACTAATAGATAATATAAGACGAAATATTGTGAAAAGTGATAATAGGCTTGTGTTCAGCTGGGTCAAAGCCCATTTTGGAGACCAAGGAAATGAAAGAGCAGACAGTCTGGCTAAAGAGGCTAGTTATCTACAAACAAAGGAATCATACAGAAAAATATCTACAAAATACATAAAAACTGAAATCAAAAATAGATACATATTACAGTGGCAACAACGGTGGGAAATAACTACAAAAGGAAGGGAACTCTTTGAATACATACCAGATATTAACCAGAGGTTAAATAACAAACATCTACAAATTGGACACAAATTCACAAGATTCGTGACAGGTCATGGAGATTTTGCGAAATATCATTATAGATTTAATCATCGAGATGATGAAAACTGCGAGATTTGTGGGGTAAGTGAAACACCCACACACATCTTATTTGACTGTATGCAATATGAAAAAGTAAGAAACGAGTTAAAATTAGTTTGTAA